TGCGTGCGTGCGTGCGTGCGTGCGTGCGTGCGTGCGTGCGTGCGTGCGTGCGTTCGTCTGTGTGGTTTAGCAGCTTCTGTTTTATATTTCGCGTTACGATGCCCTGCTGCTTACATGCAGGCATTGAGCGGCGCAAATACGAGAGCAATTATTTTGCATGGCAAAAAAATTATTCGCGTGTGCCAGCAGTCGATCCGCGCTCACTCGCAATGCTTTATGCACGAGATTTCAGTAGTCATTAATAATTATACATTACGCGTGCACTATAATCATTATCAGTAATAATATTCGCGATGTATAACGGTATACACGTCTTTGCTACGTTATAATAACTGCGTTAATAAATTTAATGCGTAGCTCTATATGTTCTATAAATTTGCGACAAGTGCGCAGTCAATTCATATGAGTTTACATTTGCAAAATTAAAAAGTTTTATATTTGTAAAGTGTGCACTTGAGCGCTTAATTAGAAAATCCGTCTAGAAAATTTCTGTTTCTGTTGATGAATAAGTGAATGTGAAAAACATTTTTGTGATGCGATGCGAAAAATGTTATGTCGAAAGTCCATTATAGATTTACACGAAGTGTAGCGGTGATCATAACGTGATCAAATCTATTCTAAATATGTTTGCCTCTAACTATGGTTTCTAAAGTAGAGGAACAGCACGTTACGAAAAAAAGCAGTTGTCGTATATTTGACTGACGCGTACAAAGCAAACTAATGCGATCATTCAAAGCATCGCAGATTCGGGATTTAGAAATGACGTCTAGCGGAAACACTGGTCAACAAATCTCACCACTGTCGCTAGTAAGAATGAGTTGCGATCAATCGGACCCACTGACGTTTAACTTACGCATCACTCGGACGCACGCACGCACGCACGCACGCACGCACACACGTATACACTCACACGTCACAAACACGGGCACAAACGCATGCACGCGCACACGCGCACGTGTGCACACAGGCACGCATGCGCATGCGCATGCACACGCTCACGCTCACGCACACGCTCACGCTCACGCTCACGCACACGCACACGCACACGCACACACACATGCACGCATGCTCGCACGCACGTATGCACACACGGACGCACACACCTGTTCAATAATGTATGCTACCTTGTTACATTTCGGCGTCCCGCCATGCAGACTGGCCCCGTAGGCTGTCACAATGCGTTACGCTGGCAGTTTCTACTGCATGCGGACAGTCTCACATGATAAATGAGTTCGCTTGTATATTCTGAAACTAACTGCGACTGATCAGCGACGTAAGGTGGTAATTTTTCACCTGAAATGTTCCGGCTGCCGTGAGACGGTGGTATTATCTCGTTAAAAATTGACAGGTGCCTGTGTTTGAACTCGAAAGTTCGGCCATTCTGGCGGTAATGTTGTATTCTGCCGGTGGTGGTTGACCCCCGACGGAGCCAACTGCTGCTTTAACCGTAATTGAGAGTCATTTTGTTGTCGTTTTGTACACAGTTTGCGAGAAAACCGCAGTGGCAGCCCGACACACTCAATTATTGTCACTTTTGTTTAAATTTCAATTTCAAATGACTGCTTGAAACATCCGTTCAGTTTGGCCCATCGGTACAACCGTTTGAACCTATAGCACTCGACATTGGGAACAGTGTATATATGTGGTTGCTACAAGTATAAGCCGCGTGTGCTATCGTTCGTAGTAGTAATACAGCTATAGAGTAATGCAAATATCTGCAACCACGCGCTCTAGAAATATGTAGATGTTAGGCATAGACTATGCACAACGGCGTTATTGAAATTGCTTCGTGATTAAGAAAAATACGTCGCAGCAACCTGTGTACACAATTCTCAGCGTACTACAAGCTTTAGCGACCGCAATATCTATAGAAATAAAGAGAAATTGCGTATGGCATGTAATAAAGTTTTTATGCAGTAGTGGCGATACTGTATTATTTAATAAAGGAAACACATAAGGAACTTAAAATTACCTGTGCATTTAATCTGATCCGATATATTTAGAATGTAATTTAATTAACCGACTGCGGAGTCCTATCGTAATTAACTACGGGATAGTCGCAGATTCTAATCAATACTCGCGTTAATAATTTATTATTGTATATATTAACATTATTCGCGCGAGGGAAAAAAATCTGTTCGCGCGGATTTTCGAGCGAGATCTCATCGACTGACCGCGATGCTATCTACGTGATTCTATCTATGCGTTGACCACTGGTCACTGACCAAGTGTCCGCGTCCCTTGTGTGTTGGACGGCTTGCGCGTACAGCGTGGAAAACACTGGTAGCATTCATAGTCGAACGCGCTCCTGCGGCCATAGGGGGTTGAAATGCATGTCCGCGGAGCGGGCAGCGCGCGATGTATATATATGTCGTTCGGCCGTGGCTATTCCTGGTTGCTGTCCGTCATTGTTTGCTTATTAGCATGGCTCGCCGTCGGTGTCTCTTTATGGACCAGCACAGAATTCGGGACATCTGTTCGCGTAAGGTAACTCTCCACAAAACCAGCAGAGCCGGGGGATTTGCTATGAGCCGTCATAAAATCCCTTGAAATTGTGCCCAGATGATGGGGTGATGCCATTAGGAATGAAATTATGCGGAAGGGGACTGGTTTCTTACGCTGTTAGCCGCCTATCTGTGCTAAATCAACGGACCTGCTAGTAAAGAATGAATGGGCACAGGGATATTAGTATGATAATACACGTAGATTCTGTAATCCTACATATATGTGCATGTGTGAGTGCGGAGTGTGTGGACGCGCCTGCATGTGTTTGTGGGTGTTTATGCACGTTTGCCTTTGTCGAAGAATACATACAACGTGTCCGAATTTCGAATATTTCTGCTCTTCATTAGGAACGACCGAATATGCCTTTTTAAATCCTCAATAAATTTGAGTTACATTATTTTCATTTTGATGGCAGTTCCTGGACTTAAATTGAAGGTTTGCGTGTACGTGGACTGTTTGCTTTCATATATATAATATATATATATATATTTATATATATATATAAA